CCCTACTTTACAGGGAATGATTCCTTTTGATACTTCATACACCAGTTACTTTATCATCCCGTTCCTTCTAGTCACTGATGCAGCCGACAAATTCGTTTCTGGGCCTCTTATCCATGTAATGAGATAGAGATTCTCTAGTACATCCTTGTGTTATTTCGGAATTGCGCAAATACCTTCAGTAATTCGCTTTGCCGTATACTGTCCACATTCTTCCCATCTCAGCATTGCAAGTCTTTTTTTAGTATACACTGTTCTAATAATATAGCTCACGCCAGATCAAATGTGCTACACCATGCTGACACCTACTATGCTTTGTTCAGTTAGCTGGCTGGATCAGCGGTGCTGACTTTGTCCTCTCTGGCTTTGTTCAGTGTCGGATCATTCAAAACCTTCATTCAATTACATGATATTTAACATTAGCAAAGGGAGGGGCTGGCGTTCAACAACTGCAAGACAAATGATCTTAAAAACGATTAAGGAAAAAAGAAACTCGGTTAGCTCACCGTAAAACAAACAGTGCAACTAAGTTTAAGAATGAGGAGCATGCCGCGATCATATCGAAACAGAATAGACACACGCGAATCACTGGTAACGTGAAGCAGCAGTTTCTGTGGATGACTGAAGAGGAAACAATAAGAGAACACGTAGGCATTGTATAAAACATTGAAAGCTAAGAAATAATGCCAACGGGTGATTTATTAACGCGCCACAGATTTGTACGCATGGCAGCCGTTCGTTTATCTGATTATTCACCTTCCCCGGTTGTCGTTTCCTGAAGCACTCGCTGCCACACAACTACGGTGTGAAGTGATCGGGAAAGACAGCGCTTTGTTCACAATCGACTGTAGTAAAGTATGGGTGGAATTCGCATGTATAGAAGACCTCGTAACGATAGAGGAACGAAGAAGCAGAAAACTGCTCATTTCTTATAATTTATTAGAGTAGGCTATATTCCGATACTACTTTCTATAAGAAATGAACAGTTTAGGATAGGAAAAATCGCAAAAACTGGAAAACTGTTACGTGCAAACGAATGCAAATGCTCGGGGCAAGACATTACACAGTACGGTAGTGTAATAAAGCTCCCTTGCCCTTTGAAAGATTGAAAAGATCGAAAAAAAAAACCGCTTGGACAGTCAGTGAGCTTGGGGAGATGTGCAAATGCAGAAAAAAATACTAAGCGCAGTCGAGTGAAAATGTCAAGCATATTCAGAAAGTAAAAACTGCAAAGTCTGAGAAGTATCGGATTGGCGGCGAATTGCACGCTACGCCCTAATTCCCCGGACCTCACTTCGACTGCTCCTCATTCCTTGCCTTTCCCTCTCCCCCCACCAAATACGCTCTCTGGACGTGAAACAAAAACAGCAGTAAAGAAAACGACGGAACTGACAACTTGCAAAACGAAGGCATTCAGCACCGGTACAA